AACAATAAATATTTTGCCAGTTTTATTGTGCCAAAAAGCTCTTCCACTGTCAAAATTACTGTTTACCGATTCAATCAAATAAGTTGTGTGTTCATTGGCAAGATGACTTCCCTTTAAGTGAAGATGCCACATATTTGGCCAGCACTGGTTCAGAAGGGTTTGATAGACTAGAATTAAAAGGGACACTCATGAATGATGGTACGACATCTAGTTCCTAATTACAGTAAATGCCTTCATTTGTTGATCAAAAATAAGTGCAATATAGTAAAATGGGTCATAAAAAGGAAAAGGGATGGAAATTTAGATGTGATAGCTACAATTTCAGTGATGATGAGCTTTATCTTTTTACGCTTCGAAGCATAAGGATGGTTCTTGGAAAACTCGAAAAACGAATGATTATATAGTCGAAGCATTTTCAACAACGCCTGGGGGATGGTCAAAATTTGGTACATCGAATTTCATACTGGTCATGTGATTCCACATGTCAAACTATTGAGTTCTCTTTGTTTTGACAAATCAATATATGTTGCTGTGTCAAGCAATGACCTTACGCATAGTACATAGTACATTCCGAAATTTACACAATGATATTTCTACAACTTTACCTATTGGTGAAATCTTTTCTTATAACGCACAGCGAACTGTTTGGGTAGCAAAAGATGGCCAACAACTTGTAAATCTTCCATCAAGAAATGCATCTTTAGATTATTGGAATCTGAATAACCCAACCTATAAGCCATTTTAAGAATGTTCCTTACTGGGTGTCGAATATATACCGAACGTTGCAGTTGATTATGGAGATCTTAATATGGTTATGAAGGAAGAGTCTTCAGAAGCAAAACAAATCAATATTCGAAAAAGCGTATATCAGCGTGCTTTTGTCATGTGATTGGTATAATCCTGGAATATCATTGGAGTTGGATGCTAATGACAAAATTATCCATCTTCTTACGTTCTCTTATCCTTGAGATAAAACAGATAAGGTGCATATATTCGCACTTGAGCCCGGCATAACACTTGCAATAATTGC